ATATCGGGGAAGCAGAGCTCGGACGTGGAGAATGGGGAGTTAGGGCTTAAAGAGGAAATGGGGAAAAAAAGTTTTAATATAGATTAATATATATATATACATATATTTATAAATATATATATATATATATATTAAATTATATTCGATTCATTCGCGCGCGGCGACGTAACAAAATGAGTGTTCTCCCTAGGCAAAATCGACGTTCCGGACGCGCCGGCGCAGTCCGTTTTGTCATCCGAGGTCGCTCGGACGACGTCGTCGATAATCGGGTCAAAAACGCGTCAAAATTCAAATTTCACAAAATTTCGACCCGCGATCGATCGTTTCAAAAGGTTAACTCGAAAATTCGACAAGTAACAGTGCAAACGAAGCGGATCATGGCGATCGGACGCGTCGACTCTCCGAATTGCGAAGCTTGTGCACGGGAGTGTGAATTGTGCAATGTGAATTGTGCAAAAGGCCACGGCTCAGGAAGGTCCTATAGGGAATCACTTTTGGGTTTCCTCATATTGGTTTCATCCTTCTAAGTGCTAGAAGTTGATACCACACACGCGAAACTCCAGAAGGGGACGAAAGCGGGTTGAATTTCTAAAATGAGGTGGGTCCCATTTTTAAGGTTCTAAGATAGTCGAAGGGAGATCCCTAAGACTAGATCCTAAATCCTAAGAGAAAGATTAGACCTCACTAAAAATGAGGTCAACATTCATATAATATTTTGAACGCATAAATCGAATGTTAAATTTAGAAAGTCATGACTGAATTCACAATGTTTAATCACAAACCACAAGATGATTCTTTTAAAGCTCAAAATGATACCATGTATGCATCCCAAAGTTCTAATGTTCACCAAAACTTTCAAAGTTTTGAATGTAATTTAGATTCAATGACATGAGATCCATGCAAGTGCAATATAATCTTCTCAAATACTTTTGAGAGTACTCCAAGTTATGTAAATGCATTTTAAAAAGTTATAATTACAAACAATGAAGTTTCAATGATTTTAAGGCTTGCATTTGCTTTTCAAGACATTTTTCAGCTTCAATACCTTGTCTTAACATAAGTGCAAGAATTTTAGAAATTGTAATTTTTGGGCATGTCAAATGTCAAATGTCATTATATGCATGCATATTAACGAGGAAGCATTTATATGATTAACAAAGATTTGGATGATTATAAGTCTCGCACTTTCACTTTTGAGTTAATTTTCAAAACTTCAATAGATTGGCTTGAAAGTCTTCCAAATTATCGAATAAGTGTGCTAAAATCTATACAATTGCTCTGAATAAATGTATTGAAATACATGTACCTTAACAAAGTAAGATCGCATGTGTTCCGCCTAAAGTGCTAAATATTTTGACAAATAGTATGAGAATGCTGAGCTGATTAACATAAAATTAAGTTTAAAACACCCGCATATGCTTCTCCAAGCTAAATAATTATTTAAATTTAAATAGTCTGAGAATGCTATGCGAATAATTATAGCATTCTCAGCCTAAAGTGCTAAATATTTTGATAAATAGTATGAGAATGCTGAGCTGGTTAACATAAAATTAAGTTTAAAACACCCGCATATGCTTCTCCAAGTTAAATAATTATTTAAATTTAAATAGTCTGAGAATGCTATGCGAATTATGCTCAAATGTTCACTCACTCTGATAAGCATGCAAATCTCTTTTGAAAAATCTATGATTATTTCTAAAAAACCCTCATATTTTAAAATTGAATAAAAATAATAAAATTATGCATGCTTTCAAACGTACCTCTTTTGTTTATAGGGCAGGATTGTAAGTCCCACCAAATTAGTTTGATTCTCTTCCTTCTAAGGATTGGAGTTAACAAGTTCAGTAATTTTCAATGATATCTAAATCACAATTATAAGAATTTATAAGTTCAAATCACAAAGTTTAATCCTTCTCATATGAACCGGTTTTGACGAGGTTGATATTTTATAGATATTCGAGTGTCAACATTTTAAACAAAATTTAAACATAACTGTTTTAAATGTCCAATCCTTGATGATAGTTGTGTTGACTGAAAATTAAAATCATATGGGTTAATTTTTAAATCAAAGCTCTTAAATTAAGTTTTCAAAGTAATAAATCACATCTAATTTAAAATTAAATCTTCTAAAGACTTAAACCAAATTCAATCCACTCTTCCACAACCATTTTTCGACGATGATAAACTTTTGATTGAATTTAGCTCACAAAAAACGAGTGTAATATCGATCGTAATATTATATTCACACTCAAAATAATCTCATGCTGGTAAGAATGTAGTCTCAGTTCTCTGTTCGTGTGGTTTAATCCAACAACTCCACAAATAAATAACTATTACAACCAAAGCTATCTGACGAGGCGGGACATCGTTATGTTATGGTCATGGCTGCAGTTTGTGTATCCCCCAATACATTTTTACTATTTGAGTTGTGAACCATAAGAGTGGTTGATTGACACAGTTTTCTGTTAGTTAATGTTGACTTAAATGTGCTCCCTTAGACAAACATCTACTCCAAATCTACAAGATTACTTTGGACGATGCAACCCATGGTTGCTGATAAGGAACTTTCGATCGGATTGGGTTTACTACGTCCTCTATTAAGTAGATCAGAGATCACGACTTTCGAGACGATGGAACCATGTGATTTTGATCGAATTCATCATCATTTTCCCCACCATCCGCTTTATGCTCAAGGTGATAAATTTTACAATTTAAAATCCTAAATCTGCTGCTACTATACGTTGAATATTTAGTGCTTAATTACCAACTTTAATTGAAAGTGCTTTCCCATCATCGAGAGGGGTGATTAAATATAGCGCCTTGTGCGTATGGGAAATCTAAAACCTGAGATCTTAAAGTTCTCACAACATGAGGATGAAATCTCTAAGTAGTATCTTATCTACTATGTCATCAACCTTTTGAAAATTTGAACCAGAACACTAAACACAAAGCTCTCATCATCAATGAGTCCGGAGTGTAAATTTTTACAGCCCACAATGCTCACATTCAAGTGACGTATTTGTAACTCGGGACTAGGTGGTGGACATCCCTTGGTTTTCGTATCTCGCTGGTGTTATCATTGGCTGTTCTTGTTCTGTTTTCAACCCTCATAGTTGCTGAATCTTTTTAATCCCTTCCAATTTCCGCCAACTTCGCCTTTTCTCTTACTCTTGCTATTTCAGAACCTCGTCCCACTGGATCTGATCCTTAAAACTCCTAGGAATCCCAAAATGGTGTCAACACTACTCATACCAGCTTCTGGTGGTTTCATGATACTATCAACATAGTACAACTTTGATTCTCCCGGCTGTTGCAAATTGATGGTCAATTTAGGAGGTTATGCCATTATTCGTTATTATTTTATTACCTTCTATTTGGTATCTTTTATGCTTATAAAATTTGATACGAGAACGTAGTTTTCGCTCAGTCTTTCAGTTTCAGCATGTCTAATTTTTTTTATTTACACTGAGTTATCCAATCTCTTTTCATCAATTATCAATCTGTTTTTCAAGCAGGAAGGTGAGAATTTGAGTCGATGTGCAATTTTATTTTCCTTTAGCTTTTTGTGATACCTGGACTTCGTTTGCTTGTATAGCAATCATCTCTTTCTGTATTTTCAAAACAAGCATAACTGCTTTTAAATTTAGGGAAATTTACATAAACAGCAATCGATTTTCATGTATTTACATATCTCACACCTAGACTTTCATATTTATGCACATTGCTCTCAAATCTTCAATATCACATAAAAATAACACTATTTTCACTTTTTATAAGCTAAATACACATTTTCATGAATAGTTTTAAAGCAACAAGGTTCTATGCATGTAAATATGGAATTTTAAGCGTGAGATATGTAAATCTATAAGAATTGTGTGCCTTTATGTAAATTTCCCTTAAATTTATCACAAGATTTGTGGCGCGGCTGTAGTTTATTTTTTGATTGGTGAAACTTTTGTAAAGCTGAATCTGATTTTAAGTTTCTTTAGCTAATTTCTGCAACTGATCGGCATAGACACTCGACTGAGCATCCTATTAAATTTATTTCAAGGAGGCAGCCTCACATCCTCAAATTTAAGATTAAGCCAGGTAAGCATGCAATACTTAGTAAAATAACTGAATTATAATATGCAAATTTTAACATTATGAGAAATGGAAATTGAGAAGGCTGGTGTCATTCTACTTTATTAGATTCTCTGAGCCATTTATTCTTCCAAATATCATCCTAAGATTCTGATAGGTTTAGTTGTCGATACTAATGTTTAGAAATTCTATTTTTAAAACATATTTTCTTTGTTTCAAATTTATTATTACGGGCATATTTCTCGTTGTAATCTTTAGAATTATCACTTGGAGATTTTAAAATAAAATTGGATTTTTGCTACTTTTTCATTTAGCTCCATATGCTTAAGTGCAAATGTTGCTGTTTTTCCTTTTAATTTTGTTTTTTCAGTAGAGTTTATTCTTACATCTCCAGAGACGAATCAAGTCTATTGATCTCCACCTCTTCTTTGAAAAAAAAAGGAGGCATTTACATACATACCACTCAATTCTTATGTATTTACATATTGAACACCTAATTATTACTTTTTTCATCTATATCACTCAAATCATTCATATCACATTAAAATTGCCACCATTTTAACTTTTAAAGAGCGAAATACACCTTTTCATGATAGTTAAGGCGGTGTATGTTAAAATTGAATTTTAGGTGTTAGATATATAGATACATAGGAATTGAGTAGTATGTATGTAAATCTTCCAAAAAATTTCGTCGAACTCCATATTTACTTGGTCATTGATTATAGTCTTGTTTTCTTAATTTAAGGTCATACTTGATGGAGTAAAACATTCATGGCTTTCTATGCTTTGTGCTTTTAACTCAAATGAAAGTTTACTTATTCGTTCAATTTTGTTAGAATAGCATCAGTAACTTTAGTCTTCAGAAAATATTAACTTTTGAGGAGGAGTTGTTTTGCCTTAGATATGCAATATTGGTTTTCTCATTTGGATATCATATTGCTGTAACATTTTTCTTGATAAGTCACTAGTTTATAGCACTATTGGATGTGCCAGCGTTTACTAATTTTGTAAATTTGCCAAGTGCTCTAGGCTTTCTTGGCAATATTTACGTACTGGGCAAAAAAACACTAAATAAATTGAAGTTATACAATGCTGTAGTTAAATATGAAACTATTTAAATCTTACATACAACATATGTTTAAAATGTTTTATAATTTACAAGATAGTAATATTAAGTAGATAATAATAATTATGAACAAATGGTATGAATAAAGAAATCTTATCTGACATAATAAATGGCAATTGTGCGGTCAAGTAGATAACATTTGTATTAAAATCTATTAAAAATTATTTAATATAAAATTCTATATCTAAAATATATTTTTCCTGATTTTCTTGGCTAGGTGAAAAATTTGCATATGTGGACTGGGCAACTTCTGTTAATGTAATGTGGAATAGGAAATGATTTTTCTTCTCTTGGAGATTTTTTTTAAGGGAGGCGAGCAATGAATTGTAATTTTGATGGGGAGATCGTTTGGAGTTTGAAGAATTGTTGAAGTGGTGGTGGAAAGTTTAAGGTGCTTTCTGATAACGGATTTAGTAAATCTTATAAATCCGGGCATACTAAATCCCGCCAATGTTAGGATTTAGTCAGTGAATATGGAATTTAAAGCAAAATAGAGAAAAAATTCAGAAGAAATTGGATTTAGTAAATTAAGATTTAAAAATTGTGTTTTATCTGTTTGGCAAGTTTTAAGTTAAATATGATTCAAGTCTGTTACCCTAAGACTGGTGAAGGTTAAAAATGATGGTAGTTTTCAGAAATTTCCGGTTGAAGTTTATGATAGAAGATGATCAATTTTTGTTTTATTATATAGAAAATGGGTTAGGATCTCTACAGTATAGGTTTGAGAAGTTAACTAATTAATGGTGATGATTTTAGGTTAGTTTGATGAGTGATTAGGAAGTAATGATATTTTTACTTTGGGTTGGTTACAGTAGGTGGATATTAGGAGTTATGTTTTGATAAGGAGTTATGATTCGATTTTGAATAGTCAGAGGGGGTATGAAGTCTTAGGAACATAGTGTGGATGTAGAAGAATAAAAATAGAGGATAAAAATAGGCTGTTATTGTAGGATTGATTCACAAATCAATCCAAAATTTTAGGGCACACTAATTCCTAGTAGCACAGGTTTTTACAATAGATCAAAGCTATTTATCATCAAAGTAATGCGAGTATAAATAATACATGAAGTGCTATAGAAAAGGAGGAAATACACCAACATTTTCTCCACAAAACTCTTTTCTAAACAGAAGTGAGTAGCTGCCTCAACAAATCCTTTGGGAAACTATTACAAACTACTCCAATCACGAGAGTTTCTCTAAATCTTTAATCAAATTACAAGGCCTCAATTTGGGATGATTGAATTACTTCCAAAAGAAGGCTTTAAAACTCTCTCCAAAGGCATATATGATCAGCCTCATTGCAAATGAAAAACATATGAAAATTACATGGAATAACATTAAAATTACAAAGTATATTTTATTTTACTTTGATGGTGGGTTTTTGTAATTGATTAAATGCTGGGCTTTCTTGCTTGTCCTGCTTAAATCCTCCTCCAGTTGATGATCTTTTTATTTTTAAAGTTAAGTATTGTGGTAAAGTGGTGAAGTGTGAGAGCTAATATTCCATGTCTATATGTGTGGAGTATCTATAGTTTTAGATTAATCTCATGATATATAATATTTGTAGCTATTGGGATAATTGATAATTGAAATAATTCTAGAAGTTGTATCTATTGTAAGTGGCCTGGCTTGCCAAACCTACTACAACAACAACAAAACCTTTATCCCACTAAGTGGGGTCGGCTATATGAATCCTTATTCTCCATTGCGTCCTATTTAATTCTAATTATTTAAGATCATTTTTTATACAATAAGCCAAAGTCATCTTAGGTCTACCTTTGCCTTTCTTATGATAAGTCGAATCTAAAATAACTACTCTTCTAATCGGATCATCCGATGGTCGACGTTTTATGTGATCAAACCATCTAAGACGACTCTCTCTAATTTTGTCCATCACTAGAGCTACACCAACCCTATCACGGATATATTCATTTCGCATTTTGTCTCTAAGTGCAAAGCCACTCATCCACCTAATCATTCTCATCTCGGCAACACTTGACTTAGTTTTATGCTTCTCTTTTAAAGGCCAACATTCAACGCCATAGAGAGGTTTCACCACCTTTTTATAAAATTTTCCTTTCAGTATAAACGGTACTTTTCTATCACACTATAGGCCCGATGCATTCCTCCACTTCAAATCCACTTCAACCAACCAACTTGAATTCTGCAAATAATATCCCCATCAATATCACCATCACTTTGAACAAACCTAATGCAAAAGTTAAAAAAAATTGTTGAGGCAATACCATAAAATAAATAGAAAGTCCAAAGGTCTTATTTTTCTTTTATCATTTATGTATTCATATCTAGTGAATTGAGCTGAAGTTAAAATATAATCATTGTTATCATCTCTCTCTAGTGCGTATTTTTGAAAAATGGTTCTTACTATGTTTTCGTTACTTATGTCAACAAATTATCTCCCTGGTCTCTACATATATATATATAATGTTCGACGCTAACAAGTAAAGTTTTTGCGTCGTTTTATTTGACATTAAATTCGTCGCAACTCTAATAAAAGTTTTGTCATTTTAATAGTATTTTTTCTATCGATTTGTTGGACGTAAATTAGATGTAAAATCTGCTACAAATATCAAAATTTAATTTTCAACGCTTAACAACCGCAAATCTGATGCGAATCGAATAATATTAACAACATCTCTTGTAGTGTATCTTCTATAATTTTTTTTCGGCTTTTGCTCTCTCTGAACAATTTAATGGACTCTTATTGAGCCTGTGTAATTATTTGTGAGGGAGAGTAAAGAACAACTAAAATTGACTCTACTAGCTTGCATTTGATGACTCATCTTCCAACGGGGATTGATGATATCTTTCATTTAGTTATTCTCAATTTATTGGGGAGTGAGAAAAGACCGTAATAACATCTTGTTGACATAAATTTAGCAACTCCATCTGTGGGGTTTAAGTGAGGATCATCTACTGGTTTGTCTTATTCAATTAGTTGAGAGAACTTGAATCACTTTAACTTATTAGAGTGGATAGGCTTCAGTAAGACAACTATTGTCATTGGATGGACAAAACAATTGCTTCTTCAATACAACCATCTTTATTATTTGTGAGTGAAGAGAATTGTTAGCGACTGAGCCATATTTGGGCTTTTTGAGTTTGACCTTCAAGACCTGCTTATTTCTTGGACATGAGCTGTAAACGAACTTTGCTTTTCCAACTTAACCTGTTAATGATCACAAGCTTAGAATTTTCTCATTGTATTATGACAAACCTTCGAAGATGAATCTCTGACTTTGAGATTGTCTTGTCTATAATTTGCTTGAAGATAAGTTCATTTTTGTTCAAATTGACTCAACATAACTTTGACACCAATATAGTAAAAGAAAAATCAATTGGGGATCTCACTCCCGAAACAATGTCAACCAACAACAACAACAAAGCCTTAACTACGTGGGGTCGGCTACATGAATCCTTTTTCTCCATTGCGTCATATTTATTGTCATATTTTCATTTAGTTCTAATAAATTAAGATCATCTTTTATACAATAAGCCCAGGTCTTCCTAGGTATATCTCTATGTTTCTTAACATGAGTTGAATCTAAAACATCTATTCTCCTAATTGGATCATCAGATGGTCGACGCTTAATGTGACCAAAGACGACTTTCTCTATTTTTGAAATGATTTCAACCTAAATGATAAAATATAAACTATATTTATGGATCTTGATTTGAAGTTTTATATCAACCCTAATAAACATGAAGTCCCTTTGTCTTGATATTAAAGAAAAATTTGATACAAAGTTTGAGCTAGTTTCTTTGGTTTTATGATTCACACTTCATCAAACTTGTTGAAGAAGAGAGGATTTCCTTCTGAGTGTGTTTAAAACTTGTTCATACCTATCGAATGTCTCCC